AACCAAGGTTATCAAACAACTAGATCACTTTGTATGCTACCTTGTCCTCAGCATTTACTACTCCACCTGTTTGGGTCTGACACAAATTTTTATTAGCACTGGTGCTGTCAATACTTCCAGATCATGGATAAAAGTACTGAATAGAAAGCGGTAGCCTTGATGCTGACTCTTGTGAAACCCCTCTAGAAACAACCCATTTCCTGACAGTCCCCCAATGGCTATTTTTTGGGGTATCTGTCATCCTAGTCTGGATCCCTTTTATTATGCAGTCTGTTATTCTATTATACTATTGTTATTTTATAGTGCTAGTTGTTAATCAGAATGTCAAGTATTAAGTCAAATGCTTTAAAAAGTCTAAGTAGTGATCTTTATAAACTAAACTTGTAATCTCGAAGAATGAAATCAGGTCTGCTTGCCAAGACCTATTTTCCCTAAAATTATGCTGATTAGTATAAAACATTAAGGTAGGAATATAATTAATCAGCTGAATTCTGTATCAGTTTTTTCCTGGGATGCGTGTCAGGCTAGCAGATAATGAGGCAACTGTCATCTTCATTTCCCTTTTCGAGGGCACACTATCTCTATTCCAGTCTTCCAAAACTTCCCTAGTTTTCCAAGATTAAAAATTAGCACCAGCAGGCTGGAGATCTACTCAGTTAATTTTTTAACTCTTGCGTGCAAGTTATTTGGGTCTGTTAACTTAAATATTTCTATCTTGAAAAGGGAGCATATTAGTGGAGTAATGAACAGATCTTATTTAAAGACTGGAGGTTTAAGTCTGAGTCTTAGTCTGAACTCTTACCCAAGGCTGCCTTTAGATCAACTTAGCTGTACCTGATTCTTTTAACTGGGGAGCTCAAACATGGTCAGACCTGTTGTCTCATCATTCCCTTGCCTGGCACCAGCTATAAAAACTGCCATGAGTAAACCATGCTATATCTAATTCAACACCCAGGCTTGGGATTGTCCTTTGTCTTTTTTTTTGTTCCTGTAAGAGGCAGATGGGCATGCTGCCTAGAGCCGCGTCGTCTCCCTGTTGAGATGTTAAGGTCTCATCCTTTGGAAAATCACCACCACGCCTTTGATGTTATGGGAGATAGCTGTCCAAGACACTCTTGCGGAGACAAATGAGTTTAAGGCTCAAGATGCCGGCTGATCTTCGCAGGGCTCCACCATCACCTGCCCTAACCAGACCAGATGTTCTGGGCGTGTTGTTACTCACCTCTGATGCCAATGCTCCAGCCTCAGTCTTAAGAACCCCTGACTGGAGTCTCTCTCTTAGTTTGGCCGCTTGCCCCGTTCTTCCCTGCATGGGTTCCAAGAAGGCTATTCCTTCCTTCTGATCCCACCCTTACCTTCTGGGCCGGAACCGACTCGCTCCCTGCCAGGGCGTAATCGTGTCCATACCTTCATCTTCTTCCAGATTCCTGGAGTGGTTATCTTCACCCCCTGGGACTGGACTCACCGGCTGAGCAGCAGCCTTCGTTCCAGTGCCAGTTCTCCCCATCCAGGTAAACTCTTTGCCAGCCTTCATCAGGTAAGCCGGGGAACCAGAGCTCCCCCTTCAGCTCTGCGGTTGGTCCTCCACCTGTGGTCTCTTACCGGTCTCCTGTTCTTCTCTTCGTCTCTCCTTCTCTTTACCCGATGACTGAATGCTCCCTTGGCATCCCTTAAGCCTCCCTCTTCCCCAGCTGGGTTGGCAGTGGCAGCCTCTCATTCGCCGTCTGCCTGACTCAGCTGTTCCTTCTTTCTCTCTTTGACATGGTTTTCCTTCTTCTTCCTTGGTCATGCCAGTTTCCTTTTTCTGGTTTTGAACCCTGGCAGCTGGGTTTGCTGCAGTAGCCTTTGATCTGCCATGGCCCCAGCCAGTTCCTTTGATTGTTTGAGGCACGGTGCTTTTCTTATCCGGGCTCACTGCAGTTTCTCCTGCTTCTTGGAGTAAGTTTGTTTTCTTTGTTTCCTCCCTCGCACTCCCGTGGCAGAGCATTTCAGGCACCCTGTCACAGTTCTTTTTAGATCTTAACATCCTTGTTAGCCACTACTGAACTGGAAAAGACATCATCTGGCTCCTTTCCAAATACAATTTTTTTTTGCTTTTTCTGCAGCTTCATTCACAATTTTACCATCTCCATCTAGTAATGGAAGTATTCCATTGTAAGGATTTCTTTTTCCCTCCAACTCCTTATTGGTCTCAGCCTGGCCAGTCAGAGAATCTTCCTCTGATGTCTTTATCTCCCCTAACAATTTTCTTCACTTCCTAACTTCTAATTTACATTGATTGCTGTCATTCTCCCCCACCCCCTGCTTTTCCATTTTTCTAATGTCTTTTTCAGGTTCAGTGGCTGACTTCATTTTGCCACTGCTACAAGAATAGATTTCTCTTGGGGTTTCCTCTACATATTCTTTGTACCTTTCCATCTTCAGGTGCACAAGAGTCCTGCTAGAAAGTGACATATTTCTTCTTTCTATAGGAGAAATTTGAGCAACCCAAGTCACCCATCAGACTTGCCTGCAGAAAAATCTACAATTGACCCAAGTTGGGGTCTTGAGGGCGTTGAGATTTTTTAACAATTCAAAGACCACCCTTTTAAGCAGTCACCTTGTCCTGGCAGTCTTACTATCAGGGTCCCTCTTCTTCACAACTTCCCTTGAGTGCTTTGATTCTTTAGATTCTCACTTTCTCATTTACTCTACTTTTACTTGCCTGGACCCAGGCAACCCAAGAAAACTCTGGCTGAAAGGCCCCAAGACATTAAACTACATAAGAGACAGCTCCTATGAGCAACTAACATCTAAAAGCCTTTGTGGGACCAGCAATGATGTTGCCAGCTATGGATATCTGGTTTACATGATCTCAAGTGACTCAAGATGTCAGTACTTCAGATGATTATGCTCTACTGCTTTGACAGTTCTTTGGCTACAGAGTCTCTCTCTATTTACTCTTCCCTTTGCAGTTAGCTTCTAAGATCAATCGATTTCTCTGGAAAACGGCTGGCATCTGAAAGATCATTTAGAACTTATATGCATGGGTATGACAGAAAAAGGCTTAGCTGTTTATTTGAGTTTGCTTGGAGGGAGGAGCAATATTCCAAGCATCTGGACTACAGAAGGTTGGAAAACACAACAAAACAGCATTGTTTACTTCTCAGTAGATGCAAGTCAGATAGGCTGGTTATGTCCCTTGACTGGATAAAATTAACACTTAGAATCAAATTTCCCATGTGAAAACATCAATGATTTTCATTAAAGTCAATGGGCTTCTTTCCACTGAGGTATACCTTAAGGCAATGGTTTTCAACAGAGGTGTCACAGCACCCTGGGATGCTGTAAGATCCTTTAAAAATGCCACAGGATATCAGCACCATTAAATGTACAAACACATACAATGATTCACAAGATAAACCCAGAAACTTCAAAAACATTCTGACCTGTGTGGTTTTCCGAATTTGTCTGTGACAGACTTGTTCTATAATTTTTCCACAGTCAAAAAATGAATGAAGTAGGGTGCTGCTAAATTCAGAAAAGTTATGGACGAGTATTTTGAGTCTAAAAATGTTGAGAGTCACTGACTGTCCTAAGTGAAGTCAAGTCCTTTTTTCTAATTACTGGAGGTGGGAATACTTTGGGAAAAATCAGGAAAAAAAGCCTGCAACAGCAAGCAGAATTCTATCCGATTGTCTAGTCATACACCTATAGTAGTGAGACCTTCTACCCAAATACTTTTGACAATTTCCATTCAGACAGAATCCCCTTTATTTACATTTAGAACTTCTGCTTTTGTTCCCCTCCCTCCATTAAAACCCCCCACATCTTTCCACTGTTAAGACACCAAAAGATTTAACATTGCAGCATTCCAGTTGTTCTTCAACATATCCTAAGCTACCTTTAATTAACTGAAATCTGTTTGTGGTAGTCTGCCAAAGCTTTCTATTGATTTTGTCCTACTGTCCAGAGATTTTAACCTTTAAAGTATGTTTCCCATCAGGGATCTAATTTAGTTTATTTGGCAGAAATCCTTTAATGTTATTTTCCCAGAAAGGAAACATCAGAGCATGGAACATCTTGTTTAGACTTTTATCTGTTTCAGTCTGCCCCAGACTAAATCTCCCGTGGAGCAAGAATAAGTGAGAGCAGATGATGATGTTAGGAGAGATGCCTAACTTTAAAAATAAAAATAATCACCCATATTTTACTTTTACTAGATATAGATATATATATAATTTTGTTTAGCCAATTCTGGTGTCTTTATTTGAATCTAGAGGAAAAATGGCCCACCATAAATATAGCTCTGGATAAGTTTCTCTACCAGAAGAACAAACCTAGAAGAATTCTCCCAGATTATCCAAATGTGTGTATGCAGATTCTCTCAATTTTTTTTTTTAAATTGTTACTTCAGAATTAGCTTCCCAGACACTTGTCAAGGTAGGCATCCTGCTTATAGTACAATATAATTTGTGAGATTAGCTGTATATTTGTGAACTCCACTTCTAACTTACTTACAAATCACACTACTTTTTTAAAAGGCATCCATTAGTTTCAGCATAAAAAATAACTGGCAGTTAAAAATGTATAAAATGATGCTTCAGTTAGTTATGTGAAATGTAGAGGTTTTTTTAATGGGTAAGGGTGGAAAGGACTTTAGAGATCTTTCATTTTCCTTCTAGAAGAACTACAGTGACTCTCCTTCTTGCTGATATAATGACATGTTCAGATATGTGCAGGGTAGGATCATTACTAATTCATCAATACCTGTGCAGGTATGAAATGTACTTAGTAAAGGAAAACAGCACATAGAACATACGTATTACAATGAACTGGATGTGAACACATTGGATGCTGTTAGCATAATGGCAAAATTATTATTGTTAAAACACTCCTAAAACCTGAGGTTCGCAATTAACAATAAATGGGATAATTAAGCTTAAAACAGACCAAAAATGAGTTTGTGTCCTGGTTGAAACGAATCAACTGCTAATATGTTGTGCGTCTTCTTCACTTACCTCATCAGTGAGCTCCCCAAATACTGTCAGAACATCTATCAGGAGACTTGCAGTATAAAAGGACTTTATCATGTTTCTGTAAAAAGCAAAAATTTAGTTTCTTACATGGAATACCATTAGTATTTGTTTTTAATGGTATCTTTAAAGACTTTTTTGCCTAAAAAAATATCCAGAACAAATTAATCAATTCAAAACTTCTGCAGTTTTTCAGAACATATGGTTTGTATACATCATTTCAACCAGTTTAACCTGGAAAGTGCCACAAAATTGTTGTTTTATAGTACAACAGAGAGCTTTAAATCACATGTACACAGATTGAGTGATTTAACATGCTAATACTACAGCAATACTAAAAATTCACCACTAATGACCTTAAAAAACAACCCAAACACAGGTAAGGGGATAAAATCGTTTTCAAACAATTAAAAAAAAAATAAACCCAAAACATATCTTGTCTTTACTATTAAAGCCTAATAACACTGAAAAAGGAAAAATAAAATTAAAATCTCAGTTACATATCTCTATAAAACCTGTGTTTGGTGTGGTCTGAAATGACAGAAGCATCAATGGAAGGAAATTATGTCACTTACATCTCTGTTTATAACTCCTTTTTGCTAATTTGAACTTTATCAATTCTCAAAAGCAAGAAGGAGAAATATTTATTTAAAAACCACTGTCACTGGTATTTCAAACAAGAAACTGCCTTAAGTTTAAAATATCTGTGAATTTAAAATGTTGCTAAAGAAGTTGCTGTGTCTTTTTTAACTACTAGCAAAAACACAGATTTTTATTAAAACCAACAGGCAGTTTTGTATTGCAGTTGAAAATTTACAAGCCATTGTAAATTCCTTTAAGAAAACTATTAGCTAATTTTTATCATGCTGTAGTAACTCATATAAATCAAAAAACATTACTGAGACCTCAGTGATGTATCAATTTTAGTACCCTAGCAGAACAAACAATTTTTCATGCTTGATAATGGATTACATCTTTCAAGGTCTAAATAAGATCTTTCAAAATAAGGTACATAATCTGCCAGTTAGAAAATACAAAGCATTATACAGTGGAAATCATCTAAGATGCTAGCCATCATATAACGGTAGCCATAACTGTTTTTAAAGAAAATTAAGAAAATTTCAGCGGGAAGCAAATAAAAGAATACCCATATTTTTTCCACATGGGAAGCAAGGACAGTTTGGATATTTGAGTTTCCAGACGCCACATGTTTTATTTAGGCAATTTTATTTCAATCTTTACCCACTTGTGAAATTGCCCAGCTCTATCTTCATTGTCTGCATACAGAAACATTTTCAAAGCATAATTCTCCACATGGGCACAACCAACTATTTCTTGAGTAATAGCTTCATTATCACCCAATTGCTTCTTCATCTGAAGAAAGTTAAAAAAACAAAACAAAAAACAAATGAGCGTTTATTTCTTGACTTTCACTGATTAAATTGCAAAAAGACATTCCAAACATTGGCTGCTTATTGAAAACAAACAAGTTACAAAATATAAACTCATATAACTTTAAAAAAATGTTTTCTAAAATCTTCACTTTCATTTCTTGTGATATGATAAATACTGACAACAGGATTCTAAAAGTCTTTTGGGAAGAAAGTATAATTGAGAGCTCTGAACTGTGTATTAATATAGATCAATTTTTTTACAATGATCATTAGAAATCATTAAAAAAAAAAAGGACCAGAATACTGCTGTAAGTAAATATCTACATTTTTTTCATCATCTGAAAGACCTTACATTCAAAATTTTACGTCAAGAATGAACACTATACTTGTGTTCATCTTGCCCTTGTACCATAACCTTGTTCCTCTCCTTGAACCTTAACCTTGTTGTGGTAGAGAGGCTTGTGTGTTCCAATGACCCTCACAGCTAAGTCATCTGGGGTCTTGTATGCCTGGTAGGGCCTACACTGGCAAACAGGTTTAAGGAGAGGCCCCAGACTAAGCGAGGTCCAAACTCCTGAAGACCCCAATGGCAGAACAGGTATACTTGAGGACCTGCTGATTCTCTGTAGCTGTGAAGACAGATAAGGGCTGCAGCGGGACCGGAGCCTCTGGCTTTCTTGGACATCCTTATCCCTGGGTCCGTGTTCCCTCCCATCAAGTTTGTGCAGCTGTCGCTTGCGCCACCAATTTCCCCATGTTAAAAGATGTCACGCGCAAGCCTCTACCAGGTATGTTAACATCTCTCACAAACTAAGTCTTGTGGCGACAGACGAGTGGTGGTGGGGATAGAAACAATGACCTCTGGGAGTTCCTAGTCATAAATCTGCATGTAGCCAGTGGTCATGTGATAGTCGTTTTGCATTTACCAAGACAAGTACAATTCGGCAGCTGAGGCTGTGACTGAGCAGTCCTCTTTAGAATCTCTTCTGCTCACCCTGACTGGGGAAGGGGCAAGAAAAAGTGCCCTAAACGTAGGCTGTCTCAACGCCCCCGGCTGGACTGCCGCATCCAGTGGGATCACTCTACCTGTCAAAACCAACAAAATAAAAGTACTGAAATTCAGCACATGGAATGTCCGCACTCTCATGGATTCCCCAAACAGTGAGTGTCCTGAAACGATAACTGCCATAGAAGCTAGAGAACTTGCAAGATATCAATATTGCTGCCCTGATGGAGATGCACTGGGCAGATGAAAGCCAACTGAAAGAAGGAGGTGGCTATACTTTTTTTTTTTTTTTTTTTTTTTTTTTTTTTTTAAGAAAGGAGAGTCACCTGGAAAGAGGTGCATTCACAGGTTTGGCGTTACCATCAAGAACAAGATTGTCAGTCAGCTCTAAGAACTCCCTGTGGGCATTAACAAATGCTTTATGACACACTGCCTCAAACTCAGCAACAACCAGTATGCTATGGTCACCCGTGCATATGCCTTCACACTTCACGATGAAGAAGTTAACAAGGAACAGTTCTACTGTGCTCTTGAGACAGTCCTGACTGCTACTGTCAAGGAAGACAAGCTCATCCTCATGGGTGACTTCAACACAAGAGTTGGGCGACACTCTGAACTCTGGAGTGGCACCATTGGAAAGAGGGGATGGGGAAAGTCAACTCTAATGGTATCCTCCTCCTCAGCAAATGTGCCGAGCATGACTTACCCATCATAAATACTATCTTCAAAATAACAAATATGACACTGCTTGGAAACATCCATGCTCCAATCATTGGCACCTTCTTGACTATTATTGTCAGAGCCTGTGATCATACTGATGTCCATATCATCTGAGTCTTGAGAGGTGCAGATGACTGTTGGATGGACCACCATTTAGTCAGATCAATCATGGATGTGCAGCTTGCACCACGACACCATAAACAACTGGAAGTAATGTGGAAGAGATTTAACATCAAGGCACTGCAAGGCTAAGCTAGCTACGAGGCTCTTCAGCAATGCCTTACTGAGAGGCTCTCTGACCTACCTGATGACATCAAGGTCAGCTAGCCACACTGGGAGGAGTTTAAGAATGTAATTCACAAGGTTTGTGCTTAATCAGCTGGAAACTTTACTCGCCAAGATTGGTTTGATGAGTATAACGAGGAAATCCTAGCTCTTACCAATCAGAAGAGAAATGCATTCTTCAATTGGCAAAATGAACCCTCCAATCAGCAAAAATAAGAGCTTTCCACCAGCTTAAAGCTCTAGTTCAGAGGAGGGTACAGGACATTAAGAACTAGTGATGGTAAGTGGCCCTACGAGGAGAGGCTAAGGGACCTGAACCTGTTTAGCCTCCACAAGAGAAGGCTGAGGGGGGGATCTAGTGGCCGGTTATAAACTAGTCAGAGGGGACCAGCAGGCATTGGGGGAGTCCCTGTTCCCCCGAGCACTACCAGGAGTGACTAGAAATAACGGCCACAAGCTGGCAAAGGGTAGATTCAGACTAGACATCAAGAGGCGCTACTTTACTGTCAGGGCGGCTAGGATCTGGAACCAACTTCCAAGAGAAGTTGTGCTGGCTCCTACCCCGGAGGGCTTTAAGAGGAGGCTAGATGAACACCTTGCTGGGGTCGTTTGACCCCAGTTCTCTTTCCTGCCATGGCAGGGGATTGGACTTGATGATCTGCTCAGGTCCCTTCCGACCCTACCAACTATGAAGGCCATGGAGATCCACAGTTTTGCTGATCAACGTGACATGAGAAACTTCTTTTAGGCAATAAGAGTCATCCATTAGCCACATTCTAATGGCCCAACCCCCTTACGATTCCAGGATGGCTGCATCCTTCTCACAGATAACGTATCCATCAAACAATGCTGGAAGGAGCACTTAAAGATTCTACTCAACCATAAATCTGAGGTCTCAGTTGCCACCATTGAGTCCATTCCTCAACACCCATTAATAGAATCCCTTGCTGATCCCCCATCCTTTAAGGAAGTGTGGCATGCCATCACTCAGACCAAGAACAATAAGGCACCAGGACCAGATGGCAATCCTGCAGAGGTCTTCAAAGCTGGTGGAACAGCACTAGTGCAAAAACTTCACCAACTTTTCATCAAAATATGGGTTAACGAGGAAGCACCACCTGATTTAAAGAATGCCAACATTGTGACCATCAAGAAAGGGGACAAGTCAGCATGTGGGAACTAATGAGACACTGTCCAGCTCTCCACTGCCAGGAAGATTCTTACTCGCATCCTTTTGAATCTCCTTCTCCCTCTTTCCATAGGCATCCTTCCAGAATCCTAGTGTGGCTTTGAACCATCACGGGGTACCACTGACATGATTTTTGTTGCACAACAAATCCAGAAGTATAGAGATCAACACCAGGAGCGGTTTATGGCACTCATCGACTTAACTCAAGCCTTCGACTGCATCAATTGTGAAGCCTTATGGAAGGTGCTGGCGAGGTTTGGTTGTCCACTGAAGTTCATCTGCGCCTTCAGGCTACTATTCCATGATGGGATGACCATCACAGTCCTTTGCAATGGATCAGAGACAGATCCATTTACCATCTATACTGACGCAGCCCTGCTTGACATCAATCGCCCCAACCCTTTAATCCATCTATCTTGCTGTGATTTTGATTCTCATCTATGACTGTCTTCCTCCTGGAACTGGGGTTGAGTATCAAATGGATGGTCAGCTTTTCAACCTGTGGCGTCTGCGCAGCAAAACAAAAGTTACCAAGACTGGCATCACTGACCTTCAGTATGCTGATGACTGTGTTATCATTGCACACATGGAAACCAATCTCCAGTCCACCCTTGACCTTTTTTCAGGTGTCTATCATACCTTGGGACTCTCCCTTAATACTGGGAAGACCAAGACCATCAGCCTGCCCTAGCACAAGCTGCTCCTCTCCCCCCCAAAATTGCCATTGGTGGAGAAGCCCTGGAAAACGTTGAGCACTTCCCATATGCTGGCAGCCACCTCTCCCAGGTTGATGTAGAAATGGAACATGGGATATGCTGGCACAGCGAATCCTTTGGAAAGCTGCTTCGCTGTGTCTTTGCTGACTGAGATCGGCAGATGGAAACTAAGATCCTGGTCTACAGTACAATGCAGTGGTTATCCGCACGCTCCTTTACAGGTGAGAGACATGGGTGACATATCAAAGCTATCTTATGCACCTGGAATAGTTCCATTAGCGTTGCCTGAGGAATATCCTTCACATTAGATGGGAAGACCACTGCACCAATGCCAGCATCTTCTCTGCAGCTAACATAACCAGCATTGAGGCAAAGATCATGAAACATCAACTCCGCTGGGCTGGCTGCTGTGTGTGGATGGCTGGCACTCATCTCCTGCAAGGATACCCTAAAGCGCTACAAGGACACCCTGAAAGCATACCTTAAGGGTGGCATCAACCTTACAAACTGGCAAGTGCTGCCTGGTAACAGGTCTCAATGGCACTGCACCATACATCAAGCTACAGTCTATTTTGAAAAGAACTGTCTTGCTCAGGAATCTGAGAAATGGCAGAGGAGGCAGAAAAGCACACAACATCCTGGCCAGCAGCTGTGCCCCACCCTCCGGGGCACCACTTATGATATCTGTGGAAAAACTTGCAGAGCATGGATTGGACTCTTCAGCCATCTTAAAACTCACCAGTACTTCACCCCCCCCAGACATCATTCTTCTATCGAGAGAGAGCCAAAAAAGGACAATCCATATTTTTTTCCATCATCTGAAAGACCATACATGCAAAATTTTAAGTCAGGAATGAACACTACACAATTTATAAAATGTGTTTTTAGAGTCACTATAAATCAGGGTGTGCATGTGCATAGACAGATCTATATATCAACACTCACTCCAATCTATAGTGACTCTAAAACCACATTTTATATCTACGTATATAGTTACGTATTTCTCCCTCCTGGAACACATTCTTGAGCAGCACATTACAGCACTTAAAAAAAAAGGCCAATCTAATGGAAAAGGAGTTCTACTCTAACCTGACTGATCTAGTGACCTAAAGATTCACTGGAATGCTCAGTCTAAGGCAGTGCACTTAAATTCAAAAGCCTCTTTTCAAAGCTGTTGGAGTATAAGAAGCCTCAGGTTTCCTAATAAAATCAGTAAAGTAAACAACACCATTACAGTTACAACAGGTGGATTTAGCAGTCCTGAATAGACTTACTGTTTGCATTTAAGTAAATCTCAGCTTATCCCTCAAGAACAAAAACAGGGATATTATACAATATTATTGCTACAGCTCCTATACTGCCAAAAGATTTTAAAGAAAACTTTGATTTGTTGTTATTTTTTTCAAAAGTTGTACAACTATTTTGCAGGTAATTTTACACGTTAGACAACTATAACATGAGAAATACTGGCAGCAATGCAAAAAAGCACTTAGAATTTAGCCAAGAAACAGCTACTTGAAGTATTTTAGCAATGAACTATAAATATTACAAAGAGTTCTTTGAATTTATGGACATTTATTACGCGACTGCTTTCTGAATTTCTCCCCTTGGGAGTGCACCACTAATGGAAGTTAGGCACCTAAGGCTGTGCCTTGGAAATTCTCCCTCAGAGAGCACCATAATGCTGATTACAAGTATGATGTATGAAGGCTTTAATTTACCAAAATATATAAATAAAACAACTATCTAATGCAAAAGTATATTTACACAAAAGTTTTTATACTACAAATGAAGACTTAAATCTCAGGTTGATATATTATATAAACAAAAATAATGATATTTCTTTGTAACAAATTTTGTTCCTGTTAATCCACACCCAGGCAGTTCACTTATTTGATTTTATTTTTTACTTCCACGTTATTTAAAAGGGGGGAAAAAAAAAGATGGACTCCTCATCTGGTTGAGCACACGAATTATTCGCAAGCTCCAGCATGTTTTTTTTCAGCACAGAACTCTAGTGTCCAAACTCACTGGCTAATACAAAGCTGAGAAAGCCACAAAAATATTTAAGACAAAACCTGAAAGACTCTTTTGTTCCCTCTGCAGGCTAGCGAAACACAAACAACTAGGCTGCCAGCAGCAAATTATCAATGCCTCTCTTTCACAGAAACTAAAACGCCACCTTTTTGAATGATGCAAGTTTGTGCAAACTTCAAAAAGGCAACACTTAGTGCATGAGAACCAACTATGGCTCTTCCTTCAGCCTCCCATCTACAGGTGCAATAGATAACAAACAAACGCCAACTCCAACAACAAATGTTATCTACCAATCTTCTTGAATACTCCCAAACTGATCTTCAGAAGACACAGATAGCTTAATGGCAAGAGCTATGAATGGATGCCACATCACAAAGCTCAAGCACTTTGACCTGTTCCAGATTTGAACCAGAGGGTACTACTAGATAAAACAGTTGGGGTAACACCAGACAATGTAAAATTCCTCTTGCCCAACAACTCTCACAAAGACCCCCTCTGCTCTCCTTTCCCACACTTGTATAAGACTACTTAAATGTGGCAAGATGCCAAAGGCTTGGCTGCCAATGTGTCAATAACACTTATCATATATTGCCTTTTCCATAGGTAAAAGCAATATTAAGCAAATGACAACAAGAGATCAGTGTTGATGAGGAAGAACAGCTGGCTCAAAGTTGGCCTAAAACTGAGGTGGTGCTGGTAAAAACAGGGAAAAATCATGAAAAATTAACTTGTATTTGTCTTTGATATGACACTGAAAAGAGTAGCTTTGGGCTCCAAGTCAATACATTACTGAAGATTCTCAGACAGTATTAGCAGGATTAAACAAAAGAACACAAAACACACAACTCTCTTTCACTGCAATTTACAACCAAACTTATTTTTTTATTTCCAGATGAGAATGCGACCATACTAATCCCATGCATTAGTCACTTCCAATTTGGATTACTATAATTCACACGACTCTAGACAGCAAAGGAATGAATGCAAAGCAGACAATGCGCCTTAGACTGCTTGTCTGCTGAGGCTTTCATGAACACTTCACTTCTGGGCTCCAATCCCATGACTGCCTACTAGGCTGTTTTCATTATTCTTTCAAAGCTTTAGTCCTGATCTTCAAAGCCATGGATGGAGCAGGATTCAACTATATCTGGGATCCTATCTCTATTCATGACCCACCTAGTCAGTTGCACTGCTCTGCGATATTACAGTTTACAAAACAGTGAACAAAACATGGAAGAGCTAGGATAAGTGTTCCAGGATATACTGTAATAGCCTCCATAACTGCTATCATAATGATACACAATTATTTTCCAAGTACTGCCCTCCTTCACCAGCAAACAAAAATAACAGAGAATACTGAATCTAACTATTCTTCCATGGCATCCGATTAAGGCTGTACTTTATGCCTCCGAACAAGTTAAACTAAAAGGTGCTACTTTACCCTGCCTTTTGCCTGTTCATTATATAAGTAGGCATGAAGTATTTATAGTGTTAATGTATTCAATCAGGCATTTTATTTCTTATCTTATTACTGTTCAACTTTTCAAAATTTTTGAACAGCCTCTCAAATAGCTTCAGCAAATATTTACAAAAGTGAGTAGGGTTAGAGTAACCCAGCTATGAGTTCTTGACTGGCAGAGTTCAGTGTGCAATAGAAATAGTACAAATTATGAGAGATCTCAACATTTTAAAATAGCAGGTTAGTTTTTATATCAATACCTACAAAAATATTCTTCAGTCATCACATTTAAAGCAAGATTTTCAAAATCATCTGCATTGGTAATCACTCCTAGGGAAGTCAAATAGAAGGTAGGGCAGAATGGCACCCTAGAGTGCTACAACATCCTGGAGTGCCATAAAAAGTGTTTAAGGGTGCTGCATAATATTAACTCTATTAGGTGCTACTATCTACATGTGATTTATGAGACAAACTAGAAATTTCAAATAGGAATTCAGAGTGTTAAAAGCATTCTGGCCTGCTGTGGTCTTTCTGAGTGCTTTGCAACAGAAAAAATGTTCTACTATTTTTCTGTAGTCAAGGAATGAAGGAAAACTAAGAGCTGGCATTTTTCAAGGGGTGTCTTGAGTATAAAAATGTTAAGAAACACTGCCTTAGAGACTTACTGATTCAGAGAGGCATAAGCTCTCAAAGGCAATAGCCTACTTCATCAGATGCTATGAATGGACTAAAAAAATCACAGGGAAATTGAAGGTAATCAAAGGGATCAGAAACAGGCTAACAGTGGGCACTTTTGGAATTCCTATCCTTGTTTTATTATGTGTAGTACGATTTATTGGGCATATATGAATAAAGTATCATTACAAACAGAATCTGATAGCAAATGTTTTGCTTGTATTAAGTTGTTGTTAATTTGTATGCATCTACACAATCCATTCCCCCTTTCCTTCTTTCAGCTAATTTAAAAAATAAAAACACACTTCCACACAATGTGTTTGTGTGGAGAGTTAATGCTAAAAGAATAATGCCACATGTTCAATTAAAACTCATAAGTGAAGCAATAAGAGATAATCTAACAGTAGAGCAATTAATTCTACTTACAGTTTCCAACTGATCCATAAGTTTGGATAAAAATTTACGGCATTCTGGAGTTTTACTGTCAAGCTTCATCCCTGTCTGCATAACATACAAACGGCCTTTAGAATGAGAGAAAACACAAAGAGGTAATGAACAAGAAATTAATGGCACCAAAATCCAGATATTCTGAAGAATACTATAATTTCAGTTCTTGCACTACCAAATAATAACCCCAGCCCAATAGTGGTCAGAATTGTGGACAGATTGTGTCTGCTTCCAGACAATCACTGTTTTAGACTTTGCGCAACAGTATCTTGCGAGGATCTGTGAGCAGTTCTATTAATTTTAGTTTCTAAGTTTTGACTGTACAGAAGCCTAATGACTTAAGTATTTGGTAAACAGCCACCACCTTCATTTCCTCTTAAGCTGAATTCAAAGTTTTTCTGAATTACACTGAACTGCCAGATCAATTATTCTGAACTACTGAGTACACTGTATTTGGCTCAGATGAAATAATATACAAAAAGCCCTATGGGTTAACAGAATATTTTATTGTTATCCTTTTAAATAAATTCTATACATCAGGAGTGCTCAACCTGTGGCCTGAAGAGCCATAGGATCAAGCTTGCAGGGATCCCCACAGGTTGGAAAATTTGGCTGTGGAGGAGCAATGGAAGCTCCATGCATTTGTATCCAATCCAGCCTTGCTTGGGCTACTGCTGCACAAGGGCATCAGGGCCGGGCCTGCCCTCCACCCCCACATGTTTTGATTGGGGCTGCTCCATTCCCTCTTCCCCCTAGCCTAGCACATCCTGATAAGGCTTGGGACACTTCTTGCATCCCTGCCGCAGATAGATCAGGGTCACTCTCCTGTGGCTAGATCAAGCCCCTGCTGTGCCAACTCCTTGTACAAGATCAAGTCTACCAGCCGGATCTGGCCTGTGGACAGACCTGCCTCTGCCCATTCAGCCCACTGGGGAAAGAAAGGGGTTAAGGTTGGGCCCCACTACTATAAATGATCATGGTCATATATTAAGGTGTCAGCAGTGTTAACTCTATATTAGGGCCTGTGGAAACTTATTTCACAACTAATTACATGAGGAACAAAAGAATCTTTGCCTTACTGTAAACAGAAACAAACACATTTTAGATTCCTGTTTTCTGGAAAGGACCCAGTCAAATCAGTTTATAAAATGCACCCTGGAGAGTTGCTACCAATTACCACCACACAGTCTGTAAAATAACCCCTATATTGCTTCCAAATTTGAAAGCCAAATCCATGGACATGGCACTGAAATCTTTCCGTTTATTTTTAAACACTTGCATATTTGTCCTCCTTAGTGTCCTTTTACATAGAAAGCAAAACTAATTAAGTTTCAAAAAAGGACATTTTAAAATTATAGTTATATAATTTTTAAAGTATGAGACTATTCTATAATTGAGACTAATCAGCTAACATACAACTTCCCTGCAGGAATGGAACGTGCTCAATCTGTTGTTATAAAATCAGCAATATTATAAAGTAAATATTGAGGTTTCAGTATAACTGCACATTGTAAGCCGTTTCCAAAAACTGTCCCCCGAAGATCCAAATACACATGATCAATTCAACCCTGCATGATGGTACTGATTTCACAACCCAGAACCGGACTTGAAACACTGGCTGCATAAAAATAATGCTGACACGTGAGGCACATTTTGAATACAGAGAAAACAAACTGCGAGTACATTTAAATATGTTCTGTAAGTAAAAAAAATAAAAAATAAAAATAAAAAATCAGCTTTAAACAATGTTCCCAGGATTCTAAAGTTGACCAGACTTTATGGTTGAGACTAAAGAAGTCTTACTGGTAAGCATCACAATTGGTTAATCATTCTTAAGTTTAGAAAACATCTCAACACAGATCAAATGCCACACATTATTTCAAAGCCAAATTCTTCAATCCAGCCAAAGTAAGAATTCCCTAATTCAGAATTATGTACTTTCCATTTTAAAATGTTACAATAAAGCTGATTTTGACATATTCAGCCACAAAAAAGGCCAAAACATTTCTCATCAGCTAAAAAATAAAATACTTTTGCCTTCTGACTCTTCTCTACACATATTTGAGTAATTTAAAAAACATTCAAACACATCTATAATCAACTCTAGAACAACAAAACAACTTGATTCTGAGACTAAGCCCTGGGAATTTCAATCCAAAAGTGATTTCCTGAGAAGGCTGTTAGCAACTGAAAAAACCTAGGTCAGCAGCAGTTGGAGCTTATCATAGATTCATAGATGTTAGGATCGGAAGGGACCTCAATAGATCATCGAGTCCGACCCCCCGCATAGGCAGGAAAGAATGCTGGGTTTAGATGACCCCAGCTAG